CTGCAAGTCTGTGCAGCACTGTCCAGGACAGGTAGGCGACTGTTGCTTTACCCTCTTTCAAAAAAAGAAGATACCCCGTGGTTCGGTGACACCCGCGGGTGTCTACTCGCGTCTTTACTCTCATGACCTAAATGTATTTTTAGAATCCCACCGAAACCTATGAAGAGTATGAACAGTCGTCCAAATTCAAACCCAACACTGATCCATGGCTAACACATAAAATATCAACGAACTTCACATCTCTTAGCATGTCGCACGCGAGAGACTACAGATAGGGAGTGTTTCACATTCGTACGGAGATTTAAACTGAAATTGCCACACTGAAGATCATTCGGTGTAATTCACAGCTCTGCCTTTCCTGAGACTTAACTCTTCTAGTTTCTGAGCTATACGCCCGCGAAGATGCGCACTGTTTCGGAGACTAGGCCAAGGCCACCCAGGCATCCATGATATCATAATGCCATTCAAATGCTGTCATTTCATTGGCTGTAAGGCGATCAAGACCGAGAAGCAAAAAATTGTCGGATCATTCATATCTGGCGTTTGTGAGCACGATTTTCAGATATCGATGCGGTCAATGAGCTTTCAATCAATAATATGAATTTCACGATGACGTGATTAAACAGTGACGTATTGGGGACATATTTAGTAAGCACATAAATTGTATTGTCCAGAGCAGCCTTTTCCACTAAAAATCATATCAATAGTTATAAGCAATCTTATATCTGATGTTTGCTTCAATATCCTCAAGCGTGGAACGTTTCCATGGAGCCATGCATACCGCACCATTGCCTATGTTCAAGTTATAACTGGCGCGATGAAGAAGACCCACGGCGGGCATAACCTTAACGTCGCCGTTAATACGTAGCTGTCGCACGCTTGATCAACGGGTAACACCACTTGGAAAAAGACGCTTCCTGCATTTCGAAGATGACTTGCGCTTATTGATTGCCCTAACAGAAAAGTAGAGACCGCATAACCGAACAGCGCAAATCATCCCCTCAGTTTAGTCTTTTGCGTCTGGTTATAGCATGCGACAGATCCTCCGTACAACCCGGTGCCGATAAGAAAAGGGATGAACACCTCACCCCGCCGAGTTGGCTGTCGGGGTCGCGGAACAATCCGGCGGCCTTACCCGCCGCCCGGGCATAAATCAGGCGGTATTCAATCGGCTCACCTGCTCCCGGACATTAATCAAACGGCCGGGGATAATCACTGATCACCCTTTCGCTCCCAGCCTCATGGTCAGGCCGCGGCCGGCGGCGAATGGCGAGGATAACGACCACGGCGGGGAGTAATGAAGACGGGGAGAGAGCGAGCGGGGAGAGATGGCGGAGGGACAGAGAGAAAGATGGAGGAGTGGAAGAGGGAGGGGGAGGCGGAGATGGAGATGAAGATGGACGCGGAGGTGGAGATGGAAACGGAGATGGAGATGGGAATGGAAGCGAAGATGGAGAGGGTGAAAGAGATGGAGATTGGGATAGAGATGGAAGCAGGAATGGAACGAGATGAAGAGAAGAGAAACATGATGAGAGACAAAGTGGTAGGCGGAGACGGAAGGAAGAAAGAAGTGAAGGAGGAGAGGAACATACATTATTGGTGCTTTGGGGGGCCTGCTTTAGTGCAAGATTGCTGCTCGCCAAGTTTAGATACTCACTATTTAACCTAACCGAATCCTTCCGAAAAGCAATTCAACAGTCTACATTTAACACACAATGTTTTGCACCCTGCATAAATACATATTCACGTATGCTTAGGTTCAGTTGGTAGTACCTTTTGCAATGCTGCGTTTTTGGCGAACGAACAAAGACGAACTCATCCGGCGGAATTTCGCCGCGCTGTGTGGTGAAAATAACTTGTCTGTAACTTCGAAAAAGAGGGGCCCCGATCAACGTATAGCCCCAACTGAATATGCCATACCAAGTTTCATATTCGATAATCGGAACACACGACCTGCGATGGACATGTATGCGGCCAATCCTTGCCGGCGGATGAGAATGCGCCCAAACCAAGATTAGAGAGAAGGTTATGGGTGGGAAGGAACGGATTACAGCAGTGCGAATTCCGGCTAGCGTTCCTTTATAGTACAGTACATGGACCCACAAAACATTCGAATTAAAACTACAGTGTGGATAAGATTACGGATACTTGCTCCAGGGTTTGCGATCCATTCCTGGACTCATTTTTTCTGCATCAACAAAAGTGCTCGTTTTAGGCGTATTTTTGAATGTTTGTATCTTCATGGAAGTGACTTCTTACGTCAATCCCGGAGGTTCAGTTACTAGGCCACTTATTCAACCGCGCAAACTAGTCCGAAGACGCAAAGTGCAGTGCAATCGTGTCTACGTTATAATAGTGTCCCCTTAGATACGACCCCCGTCTTTCATGCGTAAGACGCGCTTATCCAGGCGGAACTCGCTTTGATCTCGCAAGGGACCGTTCCTCGACCGCTTACCCCAGCCCAAATATATCGTCCTTTTTGCGGCCTGAATATCGTCCCTGCACCTCTCCTGGAGCAGAGGCGCTGCGCTTCCACGGCCCGGCGCCCGTGGCGGCCTTTCCCGGCCGCTAAGAACAAACATGCATCAGCGGCGAACCGCGCCCGACCCTGATTGGTCGGCCCACGCCGAGCCATCAGGCGCGGGCTGACGGCGGCACACTTTGTACGCCGCGATTAGCCGAAATAAAGCCGCCACTGTCGGAAAGGATTGCCGCTATCAACCAGACAAATTATCACCAAGTGGACCTGATTAGTATACGCGACATAAGAGCGCAATTCATCCCAGCAAATGGGGCTCTGTTCTAATTGTGTGCATTTCATAGCACTTGTCGGAGGCGGGATTTGAGCTTTGTTAATGGGAGGGCATGTCCCTCCGCGCCACTCTCCTCCCGAGAGGGGGAGGGGTTCCCTCAGTCCACATGGTTCCCTCAGTTCGCACGCGAACGCTAACGTGCAGCCCAGCTGCGCCCCGCAGGGAGTGAAGTAGTTGTGAGGAAATGCAGTAGGCGCTGTCTCATGCTTGTTGGGCGTCAGCGAGGGGTTGATATCGCTCGTTCGTCTTTTGCATATTTGGGAGTTTGCTCATCAATTATGCATAGCGCAAAGAAAATGTGCCAGCGTCTCGGAGAGGTAGGCGTAGCTTGTGAATAGGCTACAAGGGTGACGAATCACGCGGCAGACAAACCCAACCTGAACCAGCATCAGCGCCGGAGCCGAAAACGCCAGGTCCTTCGGCCGCGTGGGCGCAGCGAGCCCAGTCTCGACGACACATGCACACGCTCAAGACGCGCAAGACCGGGGCCGGCGGCGGAGCGTGCCTGCGCAGGGGGCGGCGCGGTCTGTTATCGCCAGATCGGGCGGCAGATAGGGCCGGCCGAAGGGCCGCCGTCGGCTGGAGATAGGCATCTGGGCGCTGATCGGCGCTTTGCTCGGCCCGATAGCGCCGTTCAGCGCCAACACCATCTGCTGCGGCGGCCGCACCCCGTCACGCCCCCGCCGGTCACGTGACCGCCAGATCGAATGTCCGGTGATCGAGCCCGGCAGAACGAATATGGGTGGACCAACGTGTCATCAGAAGTGCATAGATGAGGTATTTGACCATCTTTTTTCGAAGAACCTGCTACGGGAAAGACTAGTGCATTTGCTAGTCAGATCTCGTCAGCACACGTTACGCACGTGAGATACTACAGCTACTTGAAGAGACCGGCGTGCAGGGCGCGGGCGCGTTCGGCCGGCAGATAATCTCGGAAAATTATTCGGGATGCTGGATTTAACACTCCATGCATGCATGCCTGAGTGGCGTTTGGCACTGCCAACACGGAGAATTGTGGCAGATAATAATCCGTACCAAGGGAGACTCCCGCAAAATTTTCAGAGCATGGTCAAGATGGAGTATCTTTTTTTCGCAATGCATTGCTTTAACTGTTAGGTATGCATGGCGCATGAAAGATGAATCGGGAGGGTAATTTCGGGACCAACCGAGCGTAAGTGGAGAATAACAGTAGATGATTATCGGAGAGATAATTATTCGTTGAATAATTTTCCCTCAGCCGAACGCGCCCCGTGCATCAAGACATGAACCCAACATGCCCCGTCCAGCTCCGACGAACACGTACAGGTGGGGTCTGATCAAGCAGGCAATGCATGCCGGAGGCTGGCAAGCACGATCGGGCAAGCAGTTAAAGGTCAGGATACGCAGAGCATCCGCGAACTAAACCCGGTGGTGGCGCGCCGGATCATGCCGAAGGTGGCGTGCACGTGCGCCTAGCGGACAAAGTCGGAATTACAGCTCAGCAACACTGATCGCATCGCGATCCTCATAGCCTTTCGTTTTTTCCGATAATTTTTGTATGAAACAAAAAACCTGTCCTCCACAAGTATTTGAACATTGTCGAAAAACATAGTACTCACTCGCTATGTTCGCTATTTCATCAGTATACATGTTTATAGGAACAGAGGGGCCGGGCTTCGGACCCCTCATTCATCCCAACCATGCTCGATTCGATAACGAGCTCGCAACTCTATGTGGCCGAGACAGCGATGATGTCAAAGCCGCGGTAACGGACTTCCAGGTGAAATTTAACATCACTCAAGCCGTTTTGAAGATAGACAAAGCCGCAAAAACTGACCGCGGCGTTCTTTTTTTTTTGTCCAGTTGCGTCCCAAAATCAGATCGTGCTTGTTTGCGCTATTGTGGCCCTTATCGTATGTCAACGGCCTCACCTCACCTTCTGACCGGGAACCAGGAATGGCCGCACAGGCCAGCCGACCCCAGCCACCAGCCATCTTCACGGAGTCATTAAAAAACTTGTCCGAAGCCGAGACGAGTTTTTGTTGACAGAAGTGAACCAAATTACTCGAAACGGACATGGCTTGCTGATAATAAAGATGTTACCAAGACACAGCACATGCCGCACGGCGTCCATGTCTCTTAAAACTGAGTTCAGACTCTTCATGGTTACTTGTAGTAACAAGAACCGAAAAAAGAAGGTACGACACCCGTCGCTGTATTGTACGTAAAATGGCTCTCACAATTCCGGACACATTGCCAGGTCGACCGATCTCCGTGAGAGTCGTGAGCGATAATCCAAGTCACCGCACCGCACGAGTCGACGACCGAGGCCTAAGTGCCTTGCAAAACATGCCACCGCTCGCAACGTCAGCACACTTCAGAAGCGGCCGCCGGCGGCATTGGCACTCAAAGGACCCGGCGTGAGCACCTATCCAAACATCACACTTACACAGCGCAAATCACAGAAGCAGAAGGCTAAAAGGCCGACGAAATCACAAGGCCACACTTCAGTGGAATGTGCGCAGTGTGGAATGCACCTCGCCAATAGCGGCTGCACACTATGAGCGATCGATAGATTATGGCTGCTCACGCAAACTTCTGGCCTAACCTGTGACCTGACAATCTTCCTTCGCCACATCCCATTTAGGTGACCCTTTTTCCCGGAGCGCCGCCGCTGGGCCTCGTCCGTCCTGCCGTCACCAGGGCCGCCAGTGGGCCTCATCCTCTGGTCCCCGGTTGTGCGCCACGAGGTCGAGCGGCCGGGGGCTGGTCGGCCGGCCCTCGGACGAGCCGAACGAGCCGCAGGACGAGGCGGGGCTGGCGGGCGAGCCGGCGTCGGTCGGCTCCCAGGAGGGCGGCGGACTCAGCGAGCCCACGCTGGAGCCAGCGGCGGCGGCAGCGCTGACGGCGGCCGCGGCGGGCGGCTGACGCGTTTGCACGATGTAACCAAGCTCGCCGCCGGGCAGCACGGCCGCCACCAGCTGCAGGCCTCCGAGCAGGGTCGGCACGGCCGCCGACGCCGACGTCGGTGCCGGCGCCGCGGATGTGCTCAGGGGCCGGCACGAGCTGGCCAGGTGCACCATCAGCCGCTGCTTGGCCTCTTGGTCGAGGCCCTCTCTAGACTCGAGGTAGGAGGCCACCTCCCTCGCGCAGTCGGCGTAGCCCTGCTGGAAGCGCGCCTGCGTGGCGCCCGGCCTCGTCTGCAACGAGCGCAGGTGTTTGACGGCCATCTCCAGGATGTCGGCCTTCTCCAGCTTCGAATGACGCGCCGGGTCCTTTTTCAGCCCCTCCAGCACCAGGCTCTTCAGCTCGTTAAGGCAGTCATTGATGCGGGCCCGCCGGCGCTTCTCCATGATTGGTTTGTTCATCTGGAGAGGAGACAACGTTGCGTGAGCATTATGCCTGCGCGGTAATACTATTGGCAGGGATGTAGTTTCCCAAACTGTTGGGAAGGGGGGGGGCAGACCCCTCCACCAACTTGGGCTCCCCACGGCTTTGGGAAGAAGATAGGAAAAATCCGCTGGTCCTATTTTTGGGACCAGGTTTGCCTTTTCCACCGCGAAGACAACCCATCTTGTGGAGCTACGCCCATGACTATGTCAAGACTGCCACGCGACGTGTGAATTAACGGATAAATTTCCACGTATGCCTGCACTCCTAGCAGGCTCAGCACTGAACATTCGCATCACAACAATCACATTTTACAATCCACACTGCAACGTTGATGAGTCTAGTCATGGAGGAACCTATTCTAACTGTCAGTGGAGCCCGCACAGGCTCGAAGAACAGCGTAACAATTGTCAAAGTCAAACGCTAGCCAGTCAACCGTTGGCCAGCTGCTGCGTCTGAGCCTGCTTATCTATAAGCTGAACAACCAGAAATGACAACGGTGGGTCAGCGATGCTGTCATGTCTTTCGAAGGAGAATGCAAGTGCGCGGGCGTGTTCTGCAGCGCATGACTCACCCTTCTGTTCTCAGATGGCCTTTCGCTGCTCGGCATGATGTCTTCCACAAACTGAGCGCTTGTCTCGATGATCTGTACCGAACCCAAAGACAGACACCTCACGGGGACCTCCGCACCGGCCGATCCCACACCTCCTCCGACCTGGCACGCGACTCGACTGGCGACCGCGCGTCTGGCTCGTGCCGTTCACGCCGCCCGCAGCGCCATCTACACCAGTCGACCACTGTGACGTCACCACCACCGCACCGGATGTGCCGCGCTCACTTCAGCTTGGTGTAATCAGATGTGAGCTCATATGCACAGAAATAGTATGCTAGGTCCGTCTGCAGCAATTGTAAGGTGTTTCACGCAATAACACCCGAAGTGGGACAAAAGGTGCCGAGCAGCATGTGGCGACTTCTCAATAAATGGTAGTTGGTCATATCCACCTTCGCCCGGCGTGTAATGTATCAACGGGAGTTTCACGCTTGGGCACTCTGTTCCACCTTTCTCCTATGTTTCCGCAAACCTGATGCAGTGTTAAATAGGGGTGTACGCAGGATTTTACAGCGGGGAAGGGGGAGGGGAGAGCGCAACTCACAAACAAAACCGGCGTGCCGCAAGTCGACTAAAAGACAACACATTATTCTTAGCATCCAGGACACAAATATGACTGGCAGAGATCCGGGAACAGCTCAGGTTTTGAGAGAAGATTAGGTAGTTCAGTTCTGAGGTAGGTAAACCTCACCGGCCGAGACCCCAAACCGATTAGAAAAAGTGAGATTCGGTTGTTGAGAGTTGAAATTTGACATGACAAAATTCAAAGCTAGGCTCTGCTGCTCTTGTTTTCCTTCATCTTTTCCTTTCAGTGAATTTAGTCACACAGAGCATCAACGGCATCTTCAACATCTTATAACGGTGCGATCACGACGGCACCTGCTCAGTTCCACATGTTTTCGAGAGGAGCTGGTGGCCGGGCACCCTGCTGGGCTGCTGACCAACCCTTTTTCGTACACCATGGATGCCGCTTGGCTATATACAAATATTTCATTGACGAAGCCATATTGCGGCCATCCCTAACATGTCCCGATACCATATCTGTGAAATTCATACATTCGGCTCACCATGCACGAGATCGACCACAGCTGATGGAGCCGTGCCTGCGTGATGACTTCCTTGGACTTGACTCAAATCATTTCCCAATAAAATTCGGGTGTAGCCATGAGAAACAAAATGGGCCCGCCGGTAGCCGCTCTATTCATGCACAGGCTTGGAGTATTATCTTAGACCGGATTTGTTTACACATTACATTGATATTTTCGGGGTAGCGGCACAAGAGAAGAGAAGTTCACACAGTTACAGTACCACATCAACTCACTAAACCCATCTTTCAAGTTTACCACTACACGGAAGATGACAATGGCTCCATTCCTTCTCAGGACATCACCCACAAAACAGACAGAACTGTAGAGTTCAGAGTACAGAGAACTGTAGAGAACGTACAGTACAGGACTGTACGTCAACATGCTCCCTGAGATATCATTGCACTTTCCGCCAGCCTTACAAAACAAACACCGAAAGCGAACTTCGCCGTGCCATTCGCCTCTCAGCCACACCGCGAAGCAGTCACACGCAGTATCAACTACGTCATACACACATTTCAAAACAACGGCTACCAATCGCAATTAATCTTCAGCACAGTTTGATAAATCAGGGGGACAGCATGCTCGGGGACAGCACACCCCGGGACACTACTCTGGCACTGCTTTCAAGGAAGCACGGTACAGGGACGAAAACAAAAGAGATCACATGCACTGTGAGCGTATGTCTGTCGTTTCTTGACGGCGAACTGTCCGGCAAGATGGAGCGGTTGGTGAGAAGCGGCGACTTACCATGCAAATAACATGTATGAGTCCAAATTGATTATAGCAGCATGCTGTTTATGCTGATCTGCGGGGCGCAGCCTGTCCTCATGAAGCGAGGCATACACATTCCCTAACACGTCTGGCCTGCGCAACAATCAACGTGGTTTATGAAGCCAACTGCACACTGTGCCCTGCCATCTACGTTAGGGGGTGTATGCCGGAGGCAGGAGTCACTTTCGGATGTCGGAATGTTACAACGACCACCATGTGAGGTGTCACGTAATTGACACCCCGTAGGGGAGTTATGACCCTCTGAGCTTTCAATTGCAGACTCCCATAAGTGCTTCAGCGAGCAGCTCAGGGAGCTCAAGACATCACTGGGTAAGAGCATTTACCTGTTCACTCTTGACTGTGCCGTGTAAAGCTTGTGGGGTGATGAGTGTTGAGAATGCGCCCACAAGTCCTTTAGCAAAGCAGTCTGGAATGCTTTGTTGCCTTGGCGCAATTACGCAGGGCCTTGGAAGGGAGGGGGCACGGGGTTTACAAAAGGCCCTCTGACAGCGGAAGGCCCTTACCCTACCAAATCGCCGGATATTACCCATTTGTTGTTGGGGACATGTTTATCTCACACACCCCCACCCCCACACTCACACCCACACCCACACCCACACCCACACCCACACACCCACACCCACACCCCCACCCCCACCCACACACACCCACACCCACACCCCCACCCCCACCCACCCACACCCACACCCACCCACACCCACACCCCCACCCATGTATATATATATATATATATATATATATATATATATATATATGTTATACCAATTACACACGTTTACCTTCCTTAATTGGAATATAGGCCAAGCGCTACCAAGAGATCAGTTTTCTTTAGTGAACAAACTAACAAAATCACGCGTTAGGTGACTGCATGAGATAAATCGTCGGCAGTCTTCATTTTCCAATAGACCAATGGACTCTTTTCAAAACCGATAGAACTCAGAAACTTTGTCAGACTTTTTATCTGGGCCGTACAGAGATAGCAAGGATTCCGTAAATAAATGTTGAATATCAAAATGGGACAACACTGCATTAACATGGCCAGGCCATGTTTGTCTCGATATATTCAACATTCAGCCAGAATTGATTAATGACACAAATTATGTAACGTAGGTTTGAGCATGCGCGCTCGCACATCTTACACGCAAAACACTCGACGCCAGGGTTGCAGTCTCCCTAGGCCGCGCAGCGTCGATTTCCCAGGCGCGTGGTGGTTAGCGCAGGCACATGAACCACAACGCTGTCGGCACCCGGCAAACAGGTTCAAACATTTCAATCGTTATTGTTTCGCTATTGGATTCTGCAAACAATGGACGTTCTCAGGGAAACATGGGGTGGCCTTGTGCGTTTTGAGCCCATTTCGACACACACCATTCAGCACTCACGAGATCCCTCATTTCCGGGAAAGGGGCCCCTTTGAGTGCAACGCTATGGGACACATTGCTGTTCCCGGTAAAGAGCTGAAGGGCCATCTTGTCCCCCGCGGTGTGTTTTTCGGCCGTCACTCTGGCGACACGAGACAGCATCCCCTGGCCGATCCGGAGCCCTTAGAGGGATACATCATATCACATTGAACCGCTCCCCGACACGGAGGCCTTCTGACCCGCACAGTTAACCCCGTATCGTTGCACGAACCGTCCTTGACGCGACAACATCCCTGCTCACCGCAGGTGGTCAAATAATTTGCACAGTAGACTCCACTTGGGCTTAACGGGACCATGCAGGAAAAGGGTTCGAGGGCCCACCGTTCTGTTAGTGGGGGCCCGGACTGGTACAGAACTTTTGTAATACCTCAATGTGAGCACTCACCACAAGTTCCTGTTCCCTTCAATTGTTAGAGGGTCTCGACCAACGCAGGAGACCCCCTGCCATTCGGGCTCCCGTCCCCGTCCCTGTCAAACAAATCGTCCCCTGACCGATGCAAGGCCCCTCGATGACACAGAATGTCTTGTTATGTACCGCGGGCCCCTGACCGATACAGGAGCCCGACCGATGCAAATCGCGGGCCTGGCCTTGTCTCTGCTTGGGAAATAGGCCCCCAGAGCTCAGACCAACACGGAGCTGACTGTCCGTCGTTCGTGACCTTTGGCCGAAATAGAGAAACGCTATGGCTCAGGGGTCCCTGCCGGTGCAAGGGATCATCTTAATGCCATTTGAGATTACGGCCCTATGGGCCGTAATCTAAATGTGACCTACACTTGGTTGGCTCGGGGCTCTTGCGAGTACAGGGCCCTCTGTTAGACGCTGTGGACCCCTGACAGATACAAGGTTCCTGACCAGGATAAATGACTGGCCCCGGCTTTGTAGCCGATTGGGAAGTGAGTCCTCAGGCCCATACCAACACTTCGGACGCTTCGGACCAACGTTTCGGACGCTTCGGACCAACGCTTCGGACGCTCCACCCATCCTATCTAGCCCTCGGTCTTTGGTCTCGAAAGACCCTTCGGTCCCTCTTCGAGTCCCCTCAAACACCGCTCCTTCTCGGAGCCACTTGCCGCCACAGGATCCTGTTCGACACTGTGTCCGCTTAAACGACACAGCAGCCCCTCATTGTGTCAAGGACCCCGAACACTGCAAAGTGCGGACCCCAACCGCGTTTTATTTAGGAAATGGGTCTAAAGGGCTCGGACGGACATGGAGCCGACTGTTCGGTATTCGTGGTCTCTGACAGACTTAGACGCCCGCATTGTCTCAGGGGTTCCTAAAACGGTGCAAGAGGGCCTAGGACTGATATTTCAGGCCACGACCCTAAGAGCCTGCGATTCTTTATGGGAGCTACAGCCGGTGCTTCGGGTCCTTATGCCCTCCAACCGGGCCTTTGTTAGTCGGTTCCGGTGAGCCGACCGGGCCCCTCTCCAGGCCTCATCAAAAACGTAACTTGGTTGGCTCGGGGCTCTTGCGAGTACAGGGCCCTCTGTTAGACGCTGTGGCCCCTGGCGGATACAAGGCTCCTGGCCAGTTTAAATGACTCGGCCCCGGCTTTGTAGCCGATTGGGAAGTGAGTCCTCAGGCCCATACCAATACGTAGCCGACTACATGGTACGTATCGGTGGTACCTGACCGGCATATAAGCCCATACGGACTCAGCGGGTCTCTGATCGGCGCAAAGGACCCCTTAACCGTTATTTGAGGGCCGTCTTCGCAGGTCCGGTCCCTGAATAAGACTCCGATCAGCCCTTTATGCCCTGAGACTCTCTAACCGGGCCCTTGATCGTTGGACCGGGTGG